GCGACTCGGCTGCTGGGCGGCTCGGCTGCTGGGCGGCTCGGCGGCTGGGCGGCTCAGCGGCTCGGCTGCTGGGCGGCTCGGCGGCTCTGCTGCTGGGCGGCTCGGCTGCTGGGCGGCTCGGCGGCTCGGCTGCTGGGCGGCTAGGCTGCTGGGCGGCTCGGCGGGGCCGCTGAGAGGGCGGCGTCCGGGGCCGCTGGGAGGAGGCGGCGGGGCCGCTGAGAGGAGGCGGCGTGGCCGGAAAGGTAGGTGGTGGGGCCGCGTCAGGGCCGCGACAGGGGCCGCGTCAGGGGCCGCGTCAGGGGCCGCGGCAGGGGCCGCGTCAGGGGCCGCGGCAGGGCCGCGTCAGGGCGCCGCGTCAGGGGCCGCGTCAGGGCGCCGCCAGGGGCCGCGGCAGGGCCGCGTCAGGGCCGCGTAAGGGGCCGCGGCAGGGGCCGCGTCAGGGGCCGCGTCAGGGCCGCGTCAGGGCCGCGGCAGAGCCGCGTCAGGGCCGCGTCAGGGGCCGCTTCAGGGCCGCGGCAGGGGCCGCAGCAGGCCGCGTCAGGGGCCGCGGCAGGGCCGCGTCAGGGCCGCGGCAGGGGCCGCGTCAGGGCGCCGCCAGGGGCCGCGTCAGGCCGCGTCAGGGCCGCGTCAGGGCGCCACCGGGGGGCGCGTCAGGGGCCGCGATAGGGCGCCGGCAGGGGCCTCGTCAGGGCGTCGCCAGGGGCCGCATAGGGGGCGCGTGGGAGGCGGCGTAGGGGCCGCGTAGGGGCAGCGTAGGGGCCGCTAAAAAAAAAAAAATTAGGGCAGGGCGCAATGTGCGCGGGCAGCTAAAAAAAAAAATCTTATGGTGGGCCCTTAGGAAGGAACGGTCCCATGTAGGAACCCGCTCTATACCATGTGAATCAAGAAAACAGGAATGAAATGACTAAGTGAAAGTTGGGTACAAAAAGGCAAACCCTAGGCAACTGTACCCCATATGTGCTACCCCACTATAGCCTACAGTAGCTATGTCATATAACTCTGACAGCTGCCTCAGGGACGGCAGCGGCCGGCCGCTAGGGGCCGCGTCAGGTGCAGGAGAGGGCCGCGTCAGGGGCGGCGTAGGGGCCGCGGCAGGGGCGGCGAAGGGGCCTCGTCAGGGGCCGCGTCAGGGGCCGCGGCAGGGGCCGCGGCAGGGGCCGCGTCAGGGGCCGCGTCAGGGGCCGCGGCAGGGGCCGCGGCAGGGGCCGCGTCAGGGGCCGCGTCAGGGGCCGCGTCAGGGGCCGCGTCAGGGGCCGCGTCAGGGGCGGCGCAGGGGCCGCGTCAGGGGCTGCGTCAGGGGCCTCGTCAGGGGCCGCCTCAGGGGCAGCGTAGGGGCCGCGTAGGGGCCGCGTCAGGGGCCGCGGCAGGGGCCGCGTCAGGGGCTGCGTAGGGGCCGCGTCAGGGGCCGCGTAGGGGCCGCGTCAGGGGCCGCGTTGGGGCCGCGTCAGGGGCCGCGTTGGGGCCGCGTCAGGGGCCGCGTAGGGGCCACGTCAGGGGCCGCGTTGGGGCCGCGTCAGAGGCCGCGTAGGGGCCGCGTCAGGGGCGACGTAGGGGCCGGGTAGGGGCCGCGTAGGGGCCGCGTAGGGGCCGCGTAGGGGTCGCGTAGGGGGCGCTAGGGGGGGGGCCGCTAAAAAAAAAAATTTAGGGCAGGGGCGCAATGCGCGTCGGGCAGCTAAAAAAAAAAATTTCGTTATGGTGGGCCCTTAGGAAGGAACGGTCCCATGTAGGAACCCGCTCTATACCATGTGAATTAAGAAAACAGGAATGAAATGACTAAGTGAAAGTTGGGTACAAAAAGCAAACCCTAGAAAACTGTACCCCATATGTGCTACCCCACTATAGCCTACAGTAGCTATGTCATATAAATCTGACATGGTTTCCATCTACTGGTAAGTTCGCCTGTGTTACCTCGTTGTTCGGTCATCAGTCTTCTGTTTTTGCCCTTTAGCGAATATCTGTTTTCTGTTACCTAACGTTTTTTTCCTTGCCCTTGCCTTTTAAATGCAAAGGGAGCAGGAGCAGGGAGCACGGGCAACACCTGGAGCGGGCGGAGGAGGTACACATGGCGAGATCTCCCTCTCTGGTAAGTATCATCAATTTAAGTTACCATTTCGTTTACGTTTTACTAAGTTTCTCTTATGTGTTTTGTCTTAGTGCAGGTTGAGCGCGGCGGCTGGCGATGGGGAGCTGGCGGCGAGCAAGGGGGTAAATTGAGTGGTCTCCCTTTTCCTGGTAGGTTCCGTCAATTTCATTTTTTTTTGGGTTGCGTAGCAACCCCTTTACATTTGGTAGCACTTTTTTCGGTCGACTCGAATGAACAGTGAAAATTTTGTCATTTTCCCAGCGTCTGAAGCAATCTCTTTAAAGTTTTGAGAAAGATTGCTTCAAATGTGTGGAGATGACTGCACTGAAACTCAAGAGTCGCCAAAAATAGTGAAACCAAATGAGACCAATTGTTCCATAATCGTCGATACATACGGCGAATGGAAACAATTGGTGGCCTTAACATATTTTACATCAAACACAATTGACGAGACAACAAATTCGACGAGGATGCAAATTACGGTATTTGCATCTACGGAACATAACGACTGTGAAAATAGTAGGAAGAAGAAGAAGGGGATGCACTAGCAAGAATGAGGATACAAATAGCAAACCCTAGAAGGGTTGTACTCGCTATAGAGCACCCCACTACAGGCTAGAGCATAATATTCTGACACACCCCCATAGCCAAAGTGGGGTGTAATCAGCAAAGCAGTACAAGCTCAGGGTGGATCACAATGTCACCACACATTCTGAGCACAAGTTCAAGAAGCAATAGTTTAAAGTTCACAATTATGAGCAAAGCTAGAGGCTATCGCAGAGGGCAAGTGAGGAGGAGGAGAGACTGTGGGGGAGAGAAGATGGGAGGCGACTGCTGACGCTGCAGACACACAGACGAGCTGCTGGCTCAGTGGCTACCGGAACAACGCTCCGGACTACTGGGGTAACTGGCCCCGCGGCTAAAAGTAGCGGCAGACGAGCAACGGACCCACGGGCGACTGGCGACTACCGGAGATTGTAGCCTCCGGACTGCTGCTGCTGCTGACGACAAGACTGCTGCCTCCACTCGACCTCCCCCAAACAGTACCACCCCTCCTGACACACACCCGCTGCTACACCGCTAGCTCCACTCCCCCTTCACCCCCCCTTAGCACCACTCCAACGGCTCCAACAAGTCCACCCCCCCTCAGCGGCAGCTGCAGCACAGGGAGACGGAGGAGGAGGAGGAGCAGGGAACGGCACACAGTAGTTTCACCCCCATACCCCTCACCCCCAAACCCTAATTCAGGAGAACGGGCTGTAGGAGGGGTGGGGCGCCAGCAGAAGCACGGGGGACAGCGGGGAGGGCAGGGGCAGCGAGGAAAGGGCCGCCCACGGGCCTAGCACAGCCTCCCGAACCGCGCGCAGGCGGCCCGAGCCGCGCGCGGGCCTGGCGCAGCCCGTACGGGCCGCGCGCGGGCCTGGCGCAGCCCGTACGGGCCGCGCGCGGGTCTGGCGCAGCCCGTACGGGCCGCGCGCGGGTCTGGCGCAGCCCGTACGGGCCGCGCGCAGGCCTGGCGCAGCCCGTACGGGCCGCGCGCCGGCTGTACGGGCCGCGCGCAGGCCACGACGGGCGACGGGGGGCGACGCGCGGGTCCCCGTCGCCCGTCGCAGCGCCTCCCGAGGGCGACGCGGCGAGTGACGGGGTAGAAGCCCGCCGCGCGCCTCGGGGCGCACAGCGGGCAGAGAACCGCCGCGCGCCACGGGGCGCACGGCGGGCAGAAAACCGCCGCGCGCCTCGGGGCGCACGGCGGGAAGAAAAACTGCCGCACGCCACGGGGCGTGCGGCACAGAAGGTAGTAGTGGAAGTTGCAGCGGAAGCAACGAGGTGGTGAGCCCACCCACAGGATCGATCCAAGGGGATCGACCTGCTCTGATAGCATGTGAAAATAGTAGGAAGAAGAAGAAGGGGATGCACTAGCAAGAATGAGGATACAAATAGCAAACCCTAGAAGGGTTGTACTCGCTATAGAGCACCCCACTACAGGCTAGAGCATAATATTCTGACAACGACAACACTCAACAACAACAAATGTCATAAAATGAAGTTTTTTGAAAGTGTGTAACACTTTCTAAAAATGTATATTTCGAAAGCGAAGCTGCTTGTAATGCAGCAATGGCAACGGCGAAGTGCTCTACGCTCTTCGCCAACTATATAGCAGGGGGTGGAGGCCATTTGGCCTCCACCCACGTCTTCGTTTGAAATTTCAAATGTCTTATTTCATTCTCGTCCGACGACTTGGCGCTTCCCGTTTTCCTCAGTTTCTCACTTCTCTCATAAAATAGTAGGCATCAACTCAATTGACATGGCACAACGTGTTTCAGAAATGACTTGCGGGCGCACCCGTCCGCACAATAGGCGCGCTTGTTGGGGCTAATAAAGCGACAGCGCCACTGGCGCACGTGGCGACGAAATCGCCACAAGCGCGCGTGGCGACGAAATCGCCACAGGCGCGCGTGGCGACGAAACCGCCACAGGCGCGCGTGGCGAAGCAATCGCCACAGGCGCTCGTGGCGACGAAATCGCCACAGGCGCGCGTGGCGACGAAAACGCCTCAGGCGGGCGTGGCGACGAAAACGCCACAGGCGCGCGTGGCGAAATCGCCAGTGGCGCATGTGGTGTAAAAAATGCCAGCGGCGCAAGTGGCGCCAGTGGCGCTCATGGCGCCGAAATGGTCAAAATCGCCACTGGCGCACGTGGCTATGACATCGCCAGTGGCGTGCAATAACCAGGGGCTCGTCCAGCGGCAGTCGGCACCAGCAGGCTGGCGAAATCTCCAGAGACAAACTGGCATGACATATGCTCTTCTGCTGCTGACATTGTCAGCGGATAACTTATTACCTTGCATATGTTTCCACCTGTTCTTCGTACGTATCTTCGATTTTTGTTTGTCTTCGTTTTTCTCTCGTGTTATTTATTACCTCTGGTCGCAGTAAATCGGTGCGAGGCAACTACCATAGCTTTGGGTCGCCATGAGAGACCATCGGCGAAGAAAGACTGCGGCAAACAATTGGCACAACCCCATGCGCTCCCGTGCGGTGCTGGCCAGCGAGCTCCCCAGGGGGGAGGAGGACCGGTGGGTCCTGTGCGGTGCTGGCCAGCGAGCTCCCCAGGGGGGAGGAGGACCGGTGGGTCCTGTGCGGTGCTGGCCAGCGAGCTCCCCAGGGGGGAGGAGGACCGGTGGGTCCTGTGCGGTGCTGGCCAGCGAGCTCCCCAGGGGGGAGGAGGACCGGTGGGTCCTATGCGGTGCTGGCCAGCGAGCTCCCCAGTGGGGAGGAGGACCGGTGGGTCCTGTGCCGTGCTGGCCAGCGAGCTCCCCAGGGGGGAGGAGGACCGGTGGGTCCTGTGCGGTGCTGGCCAGCGAGCTCCCCAGGGGGGAGGAGGACCGGTGGGTCCTGTGCGGTGCTGGCCAGCGAGCTCCCCAGGGGGGAGGAGGACCGGTGGGTCCTGTGCGGTGCTGGCCAGCGAGCTCCCCAGGGGGGAGGAGGACCGGTGGGTCCTGTGCGGTGCTGGCCAGCGAGTTCCCCAGGGGGGAGGAGGACCGGTGGGTCCTGTGCGGTGCTGGCCAGCGAGCTCCCTTGGGGGGAGGAGGACCGGTGGGTCCTGTGCGGTGCTGGCCAGCGAGCTCCCCAGGGGGGAGGAGGACCGGTGGGCCCTGTGCGGTGCTGGCCAGCGAGCTCCCCAGGGGGGAGGAGGACCGGTGGGTCCTGTGCGGTGCTGGCCAGCGAGCACCCCAGGGGGGAGGAGGACCGTTGGGTCCCTTTCTGGCCTGTGGGCCATTTGTAGGGTAGATTCATGGTTGTGCAATTTAGTTACACTTCTCACACACCTTAGGCTTTGAAAGCCTTCAATTGCAAGGTCCGGATGCGGTCACACTTGAGTTGGTTGATTGAACAATGTTGTGGTGAGTTTGAAATGGTGCTCAAGTCTAGCAGATCAAAAAAAAAAAAAAAAAAAAAAAATGCACACACATACAAAGGGCTCAAACGCCGGCAGATTTACCGTATCCGGATACAGATGCATGCACTCTTCGTAATGTGAGCACGGTTGTGACTGCTACAAGGGTTGGGCTCCTACAAGCATCACATCCATCATCACACAAAACACCAATGCCCGTTACCCGAGTCCTCCTATACTGCTTGCGAGTTTGTGTTCGAAGCTCACGTGTCAGCCGACTCTCATAAATCAACATTACTGTGCTACACTCGGGGCAACACTTCATCCAAGGCAACAGCAGAGAATACAGCATCACCATCAACATCGGTGCCAGCCTCTCCTTCGTGCGTGATTGGACCTCTACCGACATGTCATCGCATAAGCCACAAACAACCTTTACCATCTCGTTAGCATGACCCCGTCTCATGTCTCAGAAGACCCATTTGAAACGAAGCTCGTTGCCATTGCAAACACAAGAAAGCAAGCTTTCTAAATATGAAGTTTTTTGAAAGTGTGTAACACTTTCTAAAAATGTATATTTCGAAAGCGAAGCTGCTTGTAATGCAGCAATGGCAACGGCGAAGTGCTCTACGCTCTTCGCCAACTATATAGCAGGGGGTGGAGGCCATTTGGCCTCCACCCACGTCTTCGTTTGAAATTTCAAATGTCTTATTTCCCACCCACCCACCCTAGCAAAAATTGCATGTTGTAACTTGTAATGTAGGTACCGTATCTAACTAGGACGAGAATGTTGTAATGCCCATTTGAAACGAAGCTCGTTGCCATTGCAAACACAAGAAAGCAAGCTTTCTAAATGTGAATGATAAACTGCATCGGTGCTACAGCGATGGATCCGGTATGCTAAGGCGAGCAACGCTGCCCCAACAACGATCCCCACCTCAATTGCAGAACCGACACAATTTAACATGACACTTTATAACAAACACGAACGAGCACACACGACATTGTACTGGTACAACGACGACAACGCATAACAATTATGAGTGTCTTGGGGAGAATGCTAAAATGCATCGATGATGCAACAAAGGTTGGTCTGGCACGCTAAGGCTATTGCCCCACCGGCGATCACAACCTGAGTTGCATACACGAGGCACTTCAGCACACGCCTTGAGACAGACACAAACGATACAAACAACACTACTGTACATACGATACATATCTCACACATGCTCACACACACACATACACACTGAGACACACGCACACACTGACACGCACGCAAACAAGCACAGATACATACAGATAGTCAGCACACAACCATCATGACATTCAGCTATTAAGAAATCATCACTAGCCAATCACCCCTTATCCTCCCTACACCCCTCCCTCCCTCCCTCCCTCCCTCCCTCCCTCATCTCCCTCCCATTGCCTCCCTCATCTCCCTTCTCCGCCAAACATAATCAAAGAATTCAGCTCACGCACCCTGCACATAGTAAAAACAGAGAATGCAACACACGCCCCGCACAAGAAAGCAAAAAAAGAGGATGTTCACACATTGTGTACCAGAAAACAATAAACAGAGAATGCAACTCATGTGCGGAGGCCAAGCAGGAAACAACTCACCCCCACTGCATAAGAAAACAAAAACAAAGAGTACACCTCATAGCATTGCAAAAGAAAACAAAAGCAGAGAATGCAGCTCACACACTAGACACGAAATAAACACAATAAAAGAAGATGAGCAATGGGTTTGACAGCTCACAGAGGAAAATGGGTATCAGTCGTGGCACCACAGATACTACACCAGCATGATGCCATACCTTGAAGCCACCCTCAAGTTCAACTTCACACTCACAAACGCACTCACTCTTGTACTCAATCTCGCACCCACTCACACACTTGCTCTCGCACACGCCGTCGCACGCACTTCTCACTCACACCCGCACTCATACCCGCGATCACCCTTGTTCTCACCCTCGCACTCACTATCACACTCGCTCTTCACTCACAACTCTTCTTCAGCACTCACAGAAACACACACACAAACACGTGCACTCATCCTCGTACTCATCCTAGCACGCACACTCGAACGCACATTCGCACTCCCTTTTGCACTCACACCCATACCCTTGCACTCAACCTCGCACTCACACCCTACCACACTTGCTTTCACACTCGCTCGCGCACTCACGCTCACACTTGCTCTCTCATTCACCATCGCACTCACGCTAACACTTGCGCTCACAACCGCACTCACCCTCAACTGCATGCGCACATTTCAATCTTGCACCCACCCGCACTCGCACCAATTCACACCGCACTCACTCTTGCAACCACTCACATACACTCACGCCCTAAGCGGAATCGGCTTAGGCACAACAGCCCATGGAGCCCAGGCCAACGGTGCACGCCGCCTCTCCCTCCCACGCTCCCTACCACACGCTCTTGGTGCTCCCTTCAGCTCTTCCTTCACTCTCACATCCGCTCTCTCCCAATATTTTATTGGTAGTGAAGTGAAACGCAAGAGGAAACCAACATCGATAAGCATAAACTACAAACAAAGGTATGAGAAATTAGGTAAGATTCGAGAGAGGGGGGGGGGGGGGGGGGGGGGGAAGGAAAAGGGACCGGGAAGTTAGGGCCCACGCCGCCATAGCACTACGTTAACGTGCCCAACCAAGTACCCTAGAAGCCAACCCGAAAGATAACAATGCCCGAAGTTCTAGAAAACACAAAATTTGGTTACATTTCTTAACCTCCGTATTTCTATACAACTCTACCAACCCCTGCCCTCTCCTTCCCTCTTTCTCTACCTCTTCCCCTCCCTCTCCCTCTCCCTATCCCTCTCCCTCTCCCTCTCCCTCTCCCTCTCCCTCTCCCTAGCCGTACTCGCCCACTTCCTCGCCCTGTCGTCATTTTCTACTGTCTATTCCCCTCGCTCACCGTCTTGTGCCGACGTTGCTCGCAGCCCCCCGTTGCTGTTGCCGCCGCCGCGGAGCCCTTGCAAGCCACATCCCTGGAAAGCGGGTGTGGAGAACGGGCGGGGGAGGAGAGGGTATGAGTTATCACCATGTGCACATGACATCAGCAAACGCAAACGCCAAACGGCGCCAGCACCAGCGCCAAAAGGCGCCAGCGGCTGCGCCAAACGGCGCCAGCGCTAAAAGGCGCCAGCGCCAGCGCCAGCGCCAAAAGGCGCCAGCGCCAGCGCCAAAAGGCGCAAGCACCAGCGCCTGCGCCAAACGGCGCCAGCGCCAGCGCCAGCGCCAAACGGCGCCAGCGCCAGCGCCAAAAGGCGCCAGCACCAGCGCCAAAAGGCGCCAGCGCCTGCGCCAAACGGCGCCAGCGCCAGTGCCAAACGGCGCCAGCGCCAGCGCCAAAAGGCGCCAGCACCAGCGCCAAAAGGCGCCAGCGCCTGCGCCAAACGGCGCCAGCGCCAGCGCCAAAAGGCGCCAGCACCAGCGCCAAAAGGCGCCAGCGCCTGCGCCAAATGGCGCCAGCGCCTGCGCCAAACGGCGCCAGCGCCAGCGCCAGCGCCAAAAGGTGCAAGCGCCAGCGCCAAAAGGCGCTAGCGCCAGCGCCAAACGGCGCCAGCGCCAGCGCCAAAAGGCGCCAGCGCCAGCACCAAAAGGCGCCAGCACCAGCGCCAGCGCCAAACAGCGCAAGCGCCAGCGCCAAAAGGCGCCAACGCCAGCGCCTGCGCCAAACGGCGACAGCGCCAGCGCCAGCGCCAAAAGGCGCCAGCGCCCACGGCGCCCGCGCCCAAAGGGGCCACCGCGAACGGCGCCAGCGCCAACGGCGCCCGCGCCTTACACGCCAATGACGGCAAAGGCGCGAGCGCCCTAAGGCCAACGCCCTTGGCGTTAACGCCCAAGGGCCAGCCACCTAGGCGCCATCGGCCTAGGTTTGAGCGCTAAGGCCGCGAGTGCTCTATGCTATTTTGCCTAATGTGCGAGGGTCAAGGGCAAGCGCTCTAGGCGCGCGCGGCTTAGGCACTAACAAGGTAGCGTAGTACCTGAGAAGGTCGTAGGAGTTCTAGATTGACGAGAGTTGGAAAGAGCGTGAGAGAAAGGGTAGAGAGCATTTGAGAGGAGCAGTTGGTTGGGAGGAGAACGAAACCCTAGCCAAACCAAGTCAGCAAAATATCCTCTTTAGTGTAAGTTGGTTCCCCAAGTTATATACATTCCAATCTGTTGCTAGTGGTTTGATTGTTGATAATTGAGCAGTAGAAATATGTGTCATTCATATCTTCTTGTCAATATGTTATTCGATTTGGTCAACTTAAGTGTACCTTTTGTTTGCAACTTTTATTACAACCAAACAACAAATCATACATTATTTTGTTAATTGGAATGCAATTATTTGCTCACATTAGGCTATGTTATTTTTTCAGGCGCAGTATTGACGTATGGTGGTTAATTAGTGGTGTCCATCTATTACGGATCGAAATATTTCATTTCACTATTGTTATGCTAATTTGTTCATTTGTAAGTTACTACTGAAATACCAGTACTCTTCATGTACCGTAGGCGTGAGAGACGGTATAAGAGATTCTATAACACTCTACGCAACCCTCCCGACGTCGACACGTCGAGCCTTGTTCTTCCTTATCAAAACACTAACGTCCTGTGTTGGTTCTGTTTTGTGGGCAGCATGATCGGGCGAGGTGCGCGGGGCAAGGAGGTTCGAGCTTGGAGCAACCAGCCCTGTAAGTGGGTCTGGGCCCTGGGTCCTTGGGTGGTTAGGTTTACGTTAGGAGCGTTAGTCAGATCAGAACGTTAGGGGCGTTAGTCAGATCGTTAGGCTCGTATTAGGCTTAGCTAGGCGACGCATTAGCCTTAGCTAGGCTCGGTTCTGGGTTACGGTCTAGTCTAGACCTAGGCTCGAATTAGCTAGGACGTTAGGTTCGGAAGGTCAGGTGTGGTTGGACGTGGTTGAGTTCAGTTGGGATTGTCTTCGATATTCCCTCTCTTCCTCGCGGTGGTCAACCTGGTGGTCAATGTGCTGCCCTGTATATAATTTTAACCGCCCCCCTCCTTTCTGCCCTGTAAATAAGTCCGCTCCCTCCCCAACAGGCATTTGCCTCAACGGCCAAGAGGGGTCAAGAAGACCAAGAACCAAGAAAGGCGAGCAGCTGGGATCTGCAGATACTGTGGTTGACACTTAGGGATCCTAGGGATCTTAGTAAGCACTTTAACTCTGTATTCAGTAATATAAGTATCTCTGTTTTTTACGACTATAAGTGACTTGGCAAGTAGACGAATATGCAAGGAAATGAAACGAACCTTTTCTCGGGCTGTGCAGAAAACAAACCCTGGCAGAGTTCAGGCAGAATAGAACCACCCCACACAGCGCGTGCACCGTAGCTTGTTTCGATCGCGCTTTCAGTCGTATTTCATTAGGTAAGTTTTTATCCTGTGTCAGACATCAGGTCAAAGCTTCGGAAGACACCAAGTGACTCGGTTTGTGTCTTCCGAACCTAAATTTGCCAGCATTCCGAGTCCCTTTGGGTCTTCCCAACCTCAACTTCGTGTCTGGCTTCGTGTCTGACACGGGATAGAAACGCACCCTTATTCTCCCGTTCACACATCCAGTGCGGTAACTACTGTGGAATCTTAATAGGTTACTGTTATTTGCTCTCTCCAGATTTGCGGCAGTGGTGGTAAGATGATTTTTGTAGCTCATGTATTCGCGAAGGAAATAGACACGTACGTCGAAGTTCGGAGTATCAGCGTCGACTTGCGGCCACATTCGAAAAGATTATTTATTGACGCTATGTTGAGTCGGATTCTTTATTTTTATTTCTTCTTATGCGAAGACCTTTTGTAACGTTTATTCAGGGAGACATATTGCGCAAACGCATGATACGAACCCTGACCGTTGCGCAAGACAGCGGAAAAAATGGATTTCGGGAGGGAGACTGGCGAAAGTCCTGATTGGGGCGCGTAAGGGGGATCAGAAAGGAGAGGATTGCCGAGAGGTGACAGGCGGAGTGGCCTATTTCTCCTGATTTTTCCTTTTTCCCTCCCTGCGCTTTCCTCCCCCTTGCCCCTCCTCCCCTGACCTTGCCTAGAAACCTCCCGCATCCCTTATTCCCACCTCTCTCCCTTCGTGACCCCCAAGCTCTCTCCTCATTTCCCCCGCTCTCCCTTCATCTCCCCGCTCTCCCCCTCCCCTCTCCCTGCACTCGCCTCAATTCCCTGAGTGCACCGCTTATCGTCCCGCGCGCACTTGCTGCCCCCTTTTTGCATCCCCCTCCCCCCCTCTCCCCCCTCCTCAATCTCCCCTCCCCTCCACTCACCCCTCGTTCCAGCCCTCTCCCCCTCCTCTCCCCCCACCCCCACTCACCCCTCATCTCCCTCCCCCCCCTCCCCTCCCCCTCCCACCGTCCCCCCCATCACCCCTCATTTCCCTCACCCTCCTCCCCTTTTTATCTCCGTCCTAACCGTCCCTCATCCCCCCGTCCTCCCCTCCGCTTTCCCCCTCTCACCCCTCGTCTGCCCCCACCCATTCACACACCATTCGCATCCCCCATCCATCCCTCACTCCAGGCATACCCCCTCTTCCCCGTCTGCTCCTCCCCCAAACCTCTCATTCCACCTCCACTCACCCCTCACCTCCTCACTGCTCTCCTTCAATTCCCTCCACACCCCTCTCCCGCTCGTTCCCCCTTCTCCCCCCCTCCCTCCCCCAACCAGGGTTCTTGTCCCTTCCCCTCCCTAAAACTCTCACCTCTGCTGCTACTTGTCTTTGCTCCTTCTCCTTCTCTTTCAGTATGGTACCGTACTTGCTTTAGCTATGTACTTGCATCAGTCGCGTCAGCGAAATTGACTTCTGAGTCGACTTAAAATTCACCTCGTTACAATGGCACAAACTCCTCCTTTTCTTTCGGTATGGTACCGTACCTGCTTTCACTAGGTACTTACATCAGTAGCGTCAGTGAATTCTTTGGCTTTGAGGCTGCTTGCTTACACCTGAACCCTCAGCGGTTCTCTGTGTGGTTTTGCCAAGCGATGGGAGCCTGATCTGGATGGTTAATACTATGCTGCTGCTGGTTTCTTACCGTACAAATGTCTTGATGCACGCTGTTGCACTGTCTCTCCTCTCCCCGTGTTTCTCTCCGCTACGGTCGTGGCAATGGGGGAGGGGAGGGGAGAGCTGTTGGGGAGGTTGTTTGAAGCTGGGGGGACGGGGTTTGCTGGGGGAAGCGGGAGGCTTGCCATGCTATAACGGTAGTACGGTTTTGCCAAGAGATGGAAGGCTGTTGTGGACGGTTGATTTGATACGGAGGCGCGTTTGGGTAATTTGCATTGCCTGGATGTTTGAAGAAGGGAGGTTGGGGAGAATCTTGCACATGGTTGGGATTGACAATTGATAGGTGCTTTGGATGTTTGGTGCAGAGTAGCTGAAGCTGGGTGACAAATCAATGTGGTGTTATCTCTGTGCTTCTTTTGTTACGTTAAACATACCTACAATCATTCAAGTCATTTTGAGGCACTATTTCCACCAACGCTATGGTGCATATCTGCTTGAGTAACCACACATTGTTGTGCACACTGGAGCCAATAAAAATGATTTCTTTGAATTCACCCCGAACACACACAATAAACAGGAGGTACACTTTGTTCCACACACTGTGTATTGTCATGTCACCACTCGGCACCATACCGCCCTTTCACAGCTATACAGCATGCGCTATCCTGTGTTAAGGTTGCGCGTGAGTCTAGTTGCCGGTGATCCATGGGTGACCTGCAGAGACGTGACACAGCACAAAAGGGGCAAAGGAGGGTTGGGGCAAGGGGGATTGTTGAGTAAAACAGAAGAGACAGCATGTGCTATCCTGTGTTGGGGTTGCATGTGAGTCTAGTTGCCGGTGATCCATGGGTGACCTGCAGAGACGTGACGCAGCACAAAAGGGGCAAGGGAGATTGTTGAGTAAAACAGAAGAGACAGCATGTGCTATCCTGTGTTGGGGTTGCATGTGAGTCTAGTTGCCGGTGATCCATGGGTGACCTGCAGAGACGTGACGCAGCACAAAAGGGGCAAGGGAGATTGTTGAGTAAAACAGAAGAGACAGCATGTGCTATCCTGTGTTGGGGTTGCATGTGAGTCTAGTTGCCGGTGATCCATGGGTGACCTGCAGAAATGTGACACAACACAAACGAGAGCAAGGGAGGTGGGAAGGGATCGGGTGGGGCAAGGAAGAGAGGGGACAGATGGTCACAGACAGAGGGAGGTTGCTAGGACTGCCAGTGCGACTGCACCAAATGAAAGGTACCAGGTATGGGGTATGGGGGTGGGGAGGGGCCACGTAACAGGCCGCAATCTCCCACAGGTAATTTGCCTCCTGTCTCTACTCCCACTCACACTAACTTCTTCAAGAGTAACCCTCACCAAATCCTCTGCCTCAAGAGTCAGCTTTCAGAAGTTTCAAAAGACTCAAACAGAACCTCTTCAAGAGTGATTCTATCACGAGGGTCCCTCGTCAGCAGCCGCCGCACCAGGTCCTTCGCCCCGGGAGACACTCCTGAGACATGCTCACAAGTGACTCACACACACTCTCATACACTCACGTACACTCCCACAGAGCCCCATGCTTCATCATTAACTCACATAGAACCTCCTCAACGGCGATTCTATCACGTTGGTCCCTTGTCACAGCCGCCACACCAGGTCCTTCGCACTGGGGAAAACACGTATCAGAACGATTAAAAGACTCACACAGAACTTCTTCAAGGGTGATTCTATCACGCGGGTCCCTTGTCAGCAGCCGCCGCACCAGGTCCTTCGCTCCGGGAGACACTCTCGGCCACGGCGGTAACCGCAAGGCCCTGTCCACGTGGCACTCCATGATTCGCTCGAACGTCTCCTCCTTGGAGGCGCCTCGGAAGGGCACGACCCCCGCGAGGAGGAAGAAGAGCACACAGCCGAGGGACCAGACGTCGACTGTGTGGGAGTAGGAGTGCTGCAGCATTTCTGGAGCTATAAACGCGGCTGAACCCACTGTCTCCCTGCAGGACACACCTGGAGATTTGCAGGGAGGGAGGAGGGGTGGGGAGCGGTGGACAGGGTTGGCTGGGATGGGCTGGATTGGGTGGGAGGGAAGAAGAGCACGCAGCCGAGGGACCAGACGTCGACTGTGTGGGAGTAGGCGTGCTGCAGCATCTCCAGTGCTATGAAGGCTGCTGACCCCACCGTCTCCCTGCAGGAGACGCCTGGATGTGGGGAGGGGAGGAGGAAGGGGGGAGAATAAGGGGAGGCGCGAGGGGGATGTTATCCGGCTTCACATCGCGATGCATCACCCCACACCCGTGGCACTCCTGCAGTGGCCCCCTGCACCACTCCCATACAAGCAGTTCTCACCTTGCTGGAAGAAGAGGGATATTCCAAAGTCGGCGAGTTTGACGTAGGTATCATCCCCGCGCCGCACGAGGAGAATATTATCCGGCTTCACATCGCGGTGCATCACCCCACACCCGTGGCACCACTGCAGCGCCGCCGCCACTCCCTGACAAACCGCCGCCGCCCGCCGCTCGTTCAAGGGGCCTTCGTTCCGGACGGCATGCTGCAGCGTGCCGCCCTCACAGAGGTCGAGGATGAGGTAGATGGCCTGGGGGTTGAAGTGAGGGGAAGGACGGGGGGGGGAGGGATTTGAAGGGGAGATGCAAACAGGGGCAAAGTCTAACAGCGCCCCAGAACGCTTGGTTCCGGACGGCATGCTGCAGCGTGCCGCCCTCACAGAGGTCGAGGATGAGGTAGATGGCCTGGGAGAGGGGGAGAGAGATGGGGAGGGAGACAACGGGGAGAATATCTGAGAGGGAGCAAACAATGCCCCAGAAGCCATGATTGCCGATGGCATGCTGCAGTGTGCCGCCCTCACAGAGGTCGAGGATGAGGTAGATGGCCTGGGGGATGGATAGAAGCAGAGGGTAAGAAGGGGGGATAGGTGAGGTTGCGCCTTCTAACATCTCTCCACAATCCTTGGTTTCAGACGGCCTGCTGCAGCGTGCCTCCCTCACAGAGATGGAGGATGGTGTAGATGGGTGGACGGGGGTGATGGGATGGGATGGATGAGGAGGGGAGGGGATATGAAGGGAGATTTGAGAGCTCCAAAGTCTTGCTTCTAGATGGCCTCCTGCAGTGTGCCGCCCTCACGGAGATCGAGGATGAGGTAGATGGCCTGGGGGTTGAAGTGAGGGGAAGGACGGGGGGAGGAGGGATTTGAAGGGGAGATGCAAACAGGGGCAAAGTCTAACAGCGCCCCAGAACGCTTGGTTCCGGATGGCTTGCTGCAGTGTGCCGCCCTCACAGAGGTGGAGGATGAGGTACCTAACCTGGGGGGAGTGGGGTTGGGGGAGAGATGGGGGGATGACAGGGAACATATAGCGGGCGCCAGATTCAAGAGTGGGATGCAAGGGACGGAGACAAGAAGGAGGGATACGACTGACACCCACCTGCTCATCTCGTCCTCTATCGTCTCCACGAGTTGCACAATATGAGGATGCCCTCCCACCGTGTCTAATGCCGCCACCTCGTTCATCACTAGTACCACCCACTCTCCTCTCACCCCTTACCCACCTGCTCGTCCTCTATTGTCTCCACCAGTTTAACAATATGGGGATACCCTTGCACCGTGTCTAATGTTGCCACCTCCACCACGATTCACCTGCCTAGTAGCACCCACCTGCTCGTCCTCCACTCTTTCCATGAGTTGAACAATATGAGGGTGCCCTCGCACCGACTCCTTTTGAGGCGCCTCAAAAGTGAACAATATGAGGGTGCCCTTGCACCGACTCCTGCGTGCCACCTCGTTCATCACTAGTACCACCCACTCACCTCTCACCCCTTACCCACCTGCTCGTCCTCTATTGTCTCCACCAGCTGCACAATATGGGGATACCCGCGCACCGTGTCCAGCGCCGCTACCTCGTTCATCACGTCTTCTATTGTCTTCCAGCACAGCGCCCATCTCCCCCTCCTCTACACTCTCACCCAGCACCCACCCACCTGTTCATCCTCTACTGTCTCTTACAGCACCCATTTGCGCCTCCTCTACCCTCACCCCAGTCACCCACCTGTTCATCCTCTATTGTAATTTGTTTCCACGAGCTGCACGATGTGGGGGTGCCCTCGCACTGTGTCCAGCACCGCCACCTCGTTCATCACGTCCTCTACTGTCTCATAGCAGCACCCATCTCCCCCTCCTCTACCCTCACCCAAAGCACCCACCTGTTCGTCCTCTATGGTCTCCACGAGTTGCACAATATGGGGGTGCCCGCGCACCGTGTCCAGCGCTGCCACCTCGTTCATCACGTCCTCTGCATCATCCTCGCTCTGATGTGATGTGCCACGGCGCCATCCATCCATGCATCCAAACACATGCCATGCCATGCCACGCCATGCCATGCCGATGCCGTGACACATGCCATGCCCCCCGTGCCATAACATCACACATGCCACTCCCCATGCCATGCACCATGCCACGCCATGCACCATGTCATGCACGCACACACCATTCCAGGGCGCAATTTAGATTGAGATGAAGAAGCGCGAAGGAACAGGCAAAATAGAAAAAGAAAAAGATTGTGATAGATGACAGCCTTATGACAATAATCTTCACACCATGATGTTTGCCTTCTTAATCGCTTTGCACGCATTGATTCCCTCCTCATACAACCTTCCCCACCAACTCACCATGATGTTTGCTTTCTTGATCACTTTACACGCCATGTACTCTCCTGTGTGCCGCTCCCGACACACTACCACATCACCAAAGTACCCCCTCCCCAGCACCTCCCCCACCATCTCATATCTCTCATCCACTCGCTCCAACGGCCGGCCAATCACGTTCCGCCACCTGTCCGCCGCCCTTCCATCACCACCACTGCTTCTCTCCTCCTCACCCATCCCAACCCCCATCTGCTGCATCTGCTCCTCCCCATGCCTCCCCACGCCACGCCCCGAATCCCACTCCTGCTTCGGAGGCGCCTCGAAAGCCGCTCGTTGCGCCCCGAACGCTTTCTGAGGTGGCTCATACGAAGCCTGGCATTCCTGCTGCTCGTGCCCCATGCCGTGGCTCATGTCACTCCCCATTCTGCCATGATGCCCTGCTGCTGCCATCATACCTACCCCATAGGGAGTATGGGATTCCTGCTCATGTCCCATGCCATGGCTCATATCGCTCCCCATCCGGCCATGTTGCGGATGCGCTGTTGCTGCCACCATCCCAACCCCATGCTCCATGCCATAGCCCATGCCTTGCCCCATGCCTTGGCTCATATCGCTCCCCATCCTGCCATGATTGCCTGTTGCTGCCATCATTTCGACCCCATGCTCCATGCCATAACCTGTGCCTTGCCCCATGCCTTGCCCCATGCCGTGATGACGTGGCGATGGGGCCGTGTAGTATGCTGGAGGTATGTGATTGGCCGGCGATGCATGTTGTTGCATGGCGGCATAATGGGGCGGGGAGACGTGATTGGGCGGCGGGAAGACGCGATCGGCCGGCGGCGACACATGGTGGGGCGGCATGCAGATGTTACTGGGCGGCGACACACGGTGCGGGGTGGAGATTTGATTCGCATGATGATGCGGCGGCGACACGAAGCTCAGATTGTGTGGCAGGGCAGGTTCTGAAGCTGATGCCAGCTGGGCGGCATGCTTGCCGTGATCTAACGACTGAGATCGCTTGTACTGCTCCCTCTGACGGTCGAAAATTTCCCTGTCGTCCCGTTCCTGCTGCAAAGGCTGCTGCAGTTGCAGCTTCTTCTTAATCTTCTTCACCTTCTCAACCTTCCCCTCCTTTTCCTTCCCTTCCTTCTCTTTCCCTTCCTTCTCCTTCCCCTCCTTCTCCTTCACCTGCTTTTTCACCTTTACTACTTTCTTCCCCTTGCCCTCCTTCCCTTCCTTCCCTTCCTTTCCCTCCTTGTCCTTCTCCTCCTTTACTTTCTTCTTTACCTTCTTAACCTTCTCACCCTTGACTTTCCCCTTCTTGCCCTTCCCCTTCACCTTCTCCTCCCCATCCTGCACCATCCCACCACCACCTAACTTTCTGAAAGCACCACTCACCCCTCCTGCTCCATCCATCCCTCCCTCCTCCTGCCCACCCACCCAAGAATGCCTTTCCTCCTCCTCTTCCTCCTCCCACGCCCTCTCGCCTATCTCCTCTCCTCCTTGCTCCATAAACCCCTGTGCGCGTGAATAAGCCTCTCGTCTCCTTCCCCCTTGCTCCTGCCCATCCACATCAGGGGCTATGGCATCTGCAGCAACAGCTATCGCAACATCATCATCATCAGAATCATCCTCGTCATCATCGTCGTCATCATTATCATCATCCAAATCGTGATCCTCATCCTCCTCTTCTCCCTCCCCTTCTCTCTCATCTCCTCTTCGCATTCTCCCCAAATCCTCAGTACTGTACACTTCGTCTCCATTATAATCCCTGTTTCTATTGTAACCCTCCTTCTGATTGTAAGACTCGGTTCTATCAAAGCTCTTGCCGCCATCGAAACTGTCGTCCTCGTTATAAGCATGGTTGTTAGAGTCATTGTAGCAATCGCCCTCGTTATACCCCCCATTGTCTGCTGCCCTAAACCCATTCTTCCTGTAACCGCCATCTTGATGCCCCTCTTCTTGCGCCTGGTGCTGCTGCCTTCGCTGTTCTTGCTGCTTCCCTTGCCCTAACCCTTGCTCTCTCTCTCTCTGTTGCCCCCACTCGTCCCTTTCTTGCCGACCCCACTTATCCTTCTCTTGCTGCTCCTCCCATAAATTCCTTTCCTCATCCTCCTTCTCCTCCTCCTCCTCCCATAATCTTCTTTCTTTCTCATCCTCTTCCTCCCCCAACTTTACCTGCTGCTGCTGCTGCTGCTGCTGCTGCCCGTGCCTCTTCTGCTGCTTCTCCGTTGGCTGCTCCTGCCACCCATCTCTTTCCTCATCCCCCATGCCCTCGTCCTCCTCCCATAAATCCCTTTCCTTATTCCCCTTCTCCTCTTCCTCCTCCCATAAATCTCTCTCTTTCTCCACCTCCTCCACCTCCTCCTCATCCTCCTCCTCCTCCTGCTTCTGCAATCGTTGGACCGGCCTCTGCTTTTCCTTAGTCGAATTTCTTGCAAGAGCAGGGGGTGTGGCTACTGGAAAAACATCCTCCTCCTCCTCCTCCTGCTCCTCCTGCTCCTCCTCCTCCCTCTCATCCTTCCCTATCTGTCCCTCCATCCCCTCCCTCCCTTCCCTCCCTCCCCTCTCGTCCCTCCCGTCCCTCCCCTCTCTCCCCTCCTCCTCCCCATACTCATCCCCATACTCATCCCAACCCCCATCCGATCTCGAATCACGCTCTGCAGAGCTCCCATCGCGCCCTGCCATCCTGCTACGAAAATCCTCGTTATAAGGCGACCTGAAAGGAGATTCCGCACCGTAATCATCGTCATCGTCAAAATCACCATAAAGGTCATCGTTGCCAGCTGTCGCCGCGTGACTGGCCCCACCGAATCCTCTGCTCCCCTTGGCAAAAGCTGAAGCTGCTTCCCCTCTGTCGTCCCTCTCTCCTCCATCACTCCCCCCCTCTCCGTCCCCCTCCTCTCCCCATTCCTTGTCCCCCTCCTCCTCCTCCTCCTCCTCCTCCTCCTCCTCCTCCTCCTCCTCCTCCTCCTCCTCCTCCTCCTCCCCTCCCTCACCACCGTATTCCCTCTCTCTCCTCCCCTTACTCTCATCCTTCCTTCGGTAACCCTCCTCCTCCTCTCCTTCCTCCTCTCCTACCTCCTCTCTCCTCTCGTCCAACTCCTCCCCATAGAGCGCTCTTTCCTCCTCCCCAACCTCATCTTCCTCCCCTCCGCGTGCCTGCACTCTCCCCCTCTCCTGCCCCTGCTCCCCCCCTTCATTCCGCCAACCCCCATCCTCACTCGCCTCCTCCTCTTCTCCTACCATACCCTTCTCACCCTCCTCTCCTCTCCCTCCCCTCTCCTCCTCATCCACTTCGTCCCTGCTGCCTCTTCTCCACTCCTCATTCCGCGGCTGCACCAGCTGCTGTTGCTCCAGCTGCTGCTGCTGCGCCTGCTGTTGCGCCTGCTGCTTCTTTTTCCCTGGCGTCTTAGCCCCATCCCCGCTACTCGTTACAGTGCTATCTCGCCCAAAGCCCAGTCCCTTAGGCAGCAGCCTCAGCGCCTTGGCATATACACCCTCCCCCACATGCAACCCCCTCCGGTCCTCAGAGTGAGACCGCCGCAACCCTAGCCCCTCACCCTCCTCCTCACGCTTCTTTCCCTTCCCCCCTCCCCCTCCCGCTCCTGCTCCCCCCTCCCCCGACGCTCCCCCTGCTCCGCCACCCCCGGGGCTCTGCCCCCCCACTCCGCCTCCCCCCGCGCCCCCCTTCCCCGCCTGCTGCGGCTTCCCCACAGCGCTCTTAGAGCGCACCAGCCGCCGCTCTACAGACGTCTCTAGCAACGCTTTCGCCTTCTCCACGCCTCGCCCCCCTCCCCCCGCCTTCCCGCCTTTCCCGCTAGCCCCGCTCTCTACCCGGCCCTTTTCCTTAGCTTTCTTACCCGGGGTGGCCTTTTTAGAGTCTAGAGGAGGAGGGGGTTTGCTGCTCCCCCAATCCTGCGAGTGGGAATTCGGGTTTCTCCCATATCCTGAACTCTTTTCAGCCGCATGTTCTGTCCAACGTGGCGGCAATCCCTTGGTCGCTGCGCCGCTCCCTGCGCTACACGATCCTGGGAATGCTGACGTGGCAGGCTTGACTAATGAAGGGTCTAAACCACCAACGCTGTTAAATGGGGTTGCGCCGGGGGGAGGGAGAAAGTACACGTCAGCACCGTCGCACTCGGATCGGCGAAACCAGGCGACGACTTTAACGGTCGACCTAGCGATCTCGTGCTCAATTTCTGCCAGTTCTGCTGCCGAGAATTGCGGGTAGTCGTCGGAACTTGATTGGTGGCTCCGCGATCGGTTCATTCTCATTGGTCCCTGGCCCTGACCTTGATTCTGTGCCCGGGAATAACACTGATTGGTTCCGCCTTGTCCCTTCATATAGGCGGGAGAGCCGCGCATATCTGCGGAAGGGTTGCGCATCTCGGCGGACGACGTGCGCGTATCCGCGGAACAGTTCCGCGAGTCCACGGCTGGCGGAGCCCCCTGGGAGCGGGTTCGGCGGAAGTCCCCCGAGTCGAGGCTAGAATACCGCGGTACTGCTACGACTCGCTTCGACATTATGACAATTAGATGTAACAGTGTAACTCGCTAAGTCTATTTTAAACGTCACTGTAAACGAGGCTGGAATACAGCTGAGCTGTTGCCAATCGGTTCGCCACCATGGCTATCGGAATGCAAAATGTTACGAGGTTGCTGACTACGTCACCTTGCGAAGGAATCTGATAGCGACATTGCATTGTCACACCTTGTCAACGTAATGGCTATAGTCGAAGTTAGCTCACGGATAAATAGTATGCCAATAACGCGACGAGGCCCAGAGTCTCCAATTTAAAAGAGTTAGCGCACGCGCTCTTTGACACTACATACGAATACTACTCACAGCGATACCCTGACTTACGATCATGACATGCACTGAGACCACCCAGGAGGATGTTTGAAGCTAGCTAATAATCGTCTATGACTTCCGCAAGGGGAAGCCCAAGCAGAACGTCCTAGATAAGTAGGTTCGTACGTTTTTACTTACGGAATGTCCTTCCACTCAGCTCATGCGATATATCGCTTTCGCTCAACACCCAACCTAACCGTTTTCAAATACAGAAGTCCACGTAAAACAACTCACCGAGCTGGCTGGTTACAGGAGTGAAATGAACACTTTATCCATGATGACTAGCACTTATCCGTGCCCCATCAGTGAGCCCATCGGCAATGACGAGGACTTATCCAGGCCTAAAAACTGCAGCACATTCCGAAGTGGGTCGCATTCAAGGTGTGACGAATTGTAGGAATTGACAACTGGAGGTTGTCACGGAAAAAAAATATGCTGCTGCGCTCTTCTCCTTTTCTGAGTATGGCATTCAAATTTCATGGATTGCTGCCGGAAAACCCAGAAATGAAATGGTAGCTGAAACTGAAACGTTAAGCAATTCACAATTTCGTACGCGCTCTATTAGAGAACACCTCGTACCCAACTCCCTTGCTCCCTCCGCTCTTGTCTCAACTGGTTACCATTCAATGCGATTTGGAAGCTGAATTCAACGACAAGCTACGAAAGACAATTCTCGAATGTAGTAACTGTCGCATATGGATGATCCTCCCAAGCAACAGTCAGGTTGTTGGGAGTTTGTCCGCTTTCCCATTTGCAGTGTGCTGCGCTGCGAGGCCAAGGCCCTGGGAATGACGTGGCAGGTGTGCTGGCAGTAGACGTCCCACAACACCCAGCATTTTCCGCATGATACAGGCTCCGCATTATTTTCACCTCAGGCCTTCACATAATGATTTTCTAGGGCGGGACATAATGTTTCGTTATACAATGGAGCGCTAAAGAGTTGTTATTGTTTCCAGCACTACCATCAACACCTGTCTTGACAGCAGATTTGAGCACCAGTTCTCATCCCACAAAAAATAATGTAAAGCATTTTAGTGAGACAGCATTAAGCTAATCACTTGCAAGGTGAATCATACCCTGCGTTCATCTTTAGTCATCCAACCAATAATGCTAGACAATTTGACACACGAACGCTAGCCCAAACGAGCAAACTTACCGTATTAGTCACAGTTTTCCACCCATCCCTACTGCAATACCCGTCATCTCGGATCAAATATGCTCCACGGCACATGACATGCAGGAATCACTCGTCGTTGGAATCAGCAAACTTGATTTAGTGGCTCTCCTGGTCGATGATCCCGCCCCTGTAGGACTTTTGAGGCGCCTCTAATGCTCTGAGGCACATGACATGCAGCGATTACTCGTCGTCGGAATCGGCAAACTTGATGGAGTGGCTCTCCTGGTCGATGATGCCGCCCCTGTAGCTGCCCCTCTTCTTCTTTGTCTTCTCATGCCGGAACCCCCTGTGGTAACCGCGTGTTACAGGTGCCATGGGAACACCAAGAACAAGAAACAAGCATTCATTTCGTGTGTTGGACAAAACAAGACAAGCGACAGCACAGCGTCACACGACAACAGCACAATTACACAAGACTACATTGTGTATACATTATGATGTTATCACTTGCCCCTGCCATGTCTCTGTTGTTCTCACCCGCCCCTGCCATGTCTCTGTTGTTCTCACCCGCCCCTGCCATGTCTCTGTTGTTCTCACCCGCCCCTGCCATGTCTCTGTTGTTCTCACCCGCCACTGCCATGTCTCTGCTGTTCTCACCTGCCCCTGACTTGACCCAGCACCTCGTGGGCCTTGGCATCCCATCCACTTCCCGCCCCGCTCTGCTTGGCACAAGCACACGTGGCATGGGAGGGACACATGGCATGGGCATGATGGACGTGAGGCAGCAAACGCGGATGAGAAAAGCGGGGAATGAAAACAGCAGGACACGTGGCATATGGGAGGGACACGTGGCATATGGGAGGGACACGTGGCATATGGGAGGGACATGTGGCATATGGGAGGGACATGTGGCATATGGGAGGGACATGTGGCATATGGGAGGGACACGTGGCATATGGGAGGGACACGTGGCATATGGGAGGGACATGTGGCATATGGGAGGGACATGTGGCATATGGGAGGGACATGTGGCATATGGGAGGGACATGTGGCATATGGGAGGGACATGTGGCATATGGGAGGGACACGTGGCATATGGGAGGGACATGTGGCATATGGGAGGGACACGTGGCATATGGGAGGGACATGTGGCATATGGGAGGGACATGTGGCATATGGGAGGGACATGTGGCATATGGGAGGGACACGTGGCATATGGGAGGGACATGTGGCATATGGGAGGGACACGTGGCATATGGGAGGGACACGTGGCATATGGGAGGGACATGTGGCATATGGGAGGGACATGTGGCATATGGGAGGGACATGTGGCATATGGGAGGGACACGTGGCATATGGGAGGGACATGTGGCATATGGGAGGGACACGTGGCATATGGGAGGGACACGTGGCATATGGGAGGGACATGTGGCATATGGGAGGGACACGTGGCATATGGGAGGGACATGTGGCATATGGGAGGGACACGTGGCATATGGGAGGGACATGTGGCATATGGGAGGGACATGTGGCATATGGGAGGGACACGTGGCATATGGGAGGGACACGTGGCATATGGGAGGGACATGTGGCATATGGGAGGGACACGTGGCATATGGGAGGGACACGTGGCATATGGGAGGGACACGTGGCATATGGGAGGGACATGTGGCATATGGGAGGGACATGTGGCATATGGGAGGGACATGTGGCATATGGGAGGGACATGTGGCATATGGGAGGGACACGTGGCATATGGGAGGGACATGTGGCATATGGGAGGGACACGTGGCATATGGGAGGGACACGTGGCATATGGGAGGGACACGTGGCATATGGGAGGGACATGTGGCATATGGGAGGGACACGTGGCATATGGGAGGGACACGTGGCATATGGGAGGGACATGTGGCATATGGGAGGGACATGTGGCATATGGGAGGGACATGTGGCATATGGGAGGGACACGTGGCATATGGGAGGGACACGTGGCATATGGGAGGGACATGTGGCATATGGGAGGGACATGTGGCATATGGGAGGGACATGTGGCATATGGGAGGGACATGTGGCATATGGGAGGGACACGTGGCATATGGGAGGGACATGTGGCATATGGGAGGGACACGTGGCATATGGGAGGGACACGTGGCATATGGGAGGGACATGTGGCATATGGGAGGGACATGTGGCATATGGGAGGGACATGTGGCATATGGGAGGGACACGTGGCATATGGGAGGGACATGTGGCATATGGGAGGGACACGTGGCATATGGGAGGGACACGTGGCATATGGGAGGGACATGTGGCATATGGGAGGGACACGTGGCATATGGGAGGGACATGTGGCATATGGGAGGGACACGTGGCATATGGGAGGGACATGTGGCATATGGGAGGGACACGTGGCATATGGGAGGGACACGTGGCATATGGGAGGGACATGTGGCATATGGGAGGGACATGTGGCATATGGGAGGGACACGTGGCATATGGGACGTGCATGGGACATGTGGCATATGGGAGGGACATGTGGCATATGGGAGGGACATGTGGCATATGGGAGGGACATGTGGCATATGGGAGGGACACGTGGCATATGGGAGGGACATGTGGCATATGGGAGGGACACGTGGCATATGGGAGGGACATGTGGCATATGGGAGGGACACGTGGCATATGGGAGGGACATGTGGCATATGGGAGGGACATGTGGCATATGGGAGGGACATGTGGCATATGGGAGGGACACGTGGCATATGGGAGGGACATGTGGCATATGGGAGGGACACGTGGCATATGGGAGGGACACGTGGCATATGGGAGGGACATGTGGCATATGGGAGGGACACGTGGCATATGGGAGGGACATGTGGCATATGGGAGGGACATGTGGCATATGGGAGGGACATGTGGCATATGGGAGGGACATGTGGCATATGGGAGGGACATGTGGCATATGGGAGGGACACGTGGCATATGGGAGGGACACGTGGCATATGGGAGGGACATGTGGCATATGGGAGGGACACGTGGCATATGGGAGGGACATGTGGCATATGGGAGGGACATGTGGCATATGGGAGGGACATGTGGCATATGGGAGGGACACGTGGCATATGGGAGGGACATGTGGCATATGGGAGGGACATGTGGCATATGGGAGGGACATGTGGCATATGGGAGGGACACGTGGCATATGGGAGGGACATGTGGCATATGGGAGGGACACGTGGCATATGGGAGGGACACGTGGCATATGGGAGGGACATGTGGCATATGGGAGGGACACGTGGCATATGGGAGGGACATGTGGCATATGGGAGGGACACGTGGCATATGGGAGGGACATGTGGCATATGGGAGGGACACGTGGCATATGGGAGGGACACGTGGCATATGGGAGGGACATGTGGCATATGGGAGGGACATGTGGCATATGGGAGGGACACGTGGCATATGGGAGGGACATGTGGCATATGGGAGGGACATGTGGCATATGGGAGGGACATGTGGCATATGGGAGGGACACGTGGCATATGGGAGGGACATGTGGCATATGGGAGGGACATGTGGCATATGGGAGGGACACGTGGCATATGGGAGGGACATGTGGCATATGGGAGGGACACGTGGCATATGGGAGGGACACGTGGCATATGGGAGGGACATGTGGCATATGGGAGGGACACGTGGCATATGGGAGGGACACGTGGCATATGGGAGGGACATGTGGCATATGGGAGGGACACGTGGCATATGGGAGGGACATGTGGCATATGGGAGGGACACGTGGCATATGGGAGGGACATGTGGCATATGGGAGGGACATGTGGCATATGGGAGGGACACGTGGCATATGGGAGGGACACGTGGCATATGGGAGGGACATGTGGCATATGGGAGGGACACGTGGCATATGGGAGGGACATGTGGCATATGGGAGGGACACGTGGCATATGGGAGGGACATGTGGCATATGGGAGGGACATGTGGCATATGGGAGGGACATGTGGCATATGGGAGGGACACGTGGCATATGGGAGGGACATGTGGCATATGGGAGGGACATGTGGCATATGGGAGGGACATGTGGCATATGGGAGGGACACGTGGCATATGGGAGGGACATGTGGCATATGGGAGGGACACGTGGCATATGGGAGGGACATGTGGCATATGGGAGGGACACGTGGCATATGGGAGGGACACGTGGCATATGGGAGGGACATGTGGCATATGGGAGGGACACGTGGCATATGGGAGGGACATGTGGCATATGGGAGGGACACGTGGCATATGGGAGGGACATGTGGCATATGGGAGGGACACGTGGCATATGGGAGGGACACGTGGCATATGGGAGGGACATGTGGCATATGGGAGGGACACGTGGCATATGGGAGGGACACGTGGCATATGGGAGGGACATGTGGCATATGGGAGGGACATGTGGCATATGGGAGGGACACGTGGCATATGGGAGGGACATGTGGCATATGGGAGGGACACGTGGCATATGGGAGGGACACGTGGCATATGGGAGGGACATGTGGCATATGGGAGGGACATGTGGCATATGGGAGGGACACGTGGCATATGGGAGGGACACGTGGCATATGGGAGGGACATGTGGCATATGGGAGGGACACGTGGCATATGGGAGGGACATGTGGCATATGGGAGGGACACGTGGCATATGGGAGGGACATGTGGCATATGGGAGGGACACGTGGCATATGGGAGGGACATGTGGCATATGGGAGGGACATGTGGCATATGGGAGGGACATGTGGCATATGGGAGGGACACGTGGCATATGGGAGGGACACGTGGCATATGGGAGGGACATGTGGCATATGGGAGGGACATGTGGCATATGGGAGGGACACGTGGCATATGGGAGGGACATGTGGCATATGGGAGGGACATGTGGCATATGGGAGGGACACGTGGCATATGGGAGGGACATGTGGCATATGGGAGGGACACGTGGCATATGGGAGGGACATGTGGCATATGGGAGGGACACGTGGCATATGGGAGGGACATGTGGCATATGGGAGGGACATGTGGCATATGGGAGGGACATGTGGCATATGGGAGGGACACGTGGCATATGGGAGGGACATGTGGCATATGGGAGGGACACGTGGCATATGGGAGGGACATGTGGCATATGGGAGGGACACGTGGCATATGGGAGGGACACGTGGCATATGGGAGGGACATGTGGCATATGGGAGGGACACGTGGCATATGGGAGGGACACGTGGCATATGGGAGGGACACGTGGCATATGGGAGGGACATGTGGCATATGGGAGGGACACGTGGCATATGGGAGGGACATGTGGCATATGGGAGGGACACGTGGCATATGGGAGGGACATGTGGCATATGGGAGGGACATGTGGCATATGGGAGGGACATGTGGCATATGGGAGGGACACGTGGCATATGGGAGGGACATGTGGCATATGGGAGGGACATGTGGCATATGGGAGGGACACGTGGCATATGGGAGGGACATGTGGCATATGGGAGGGACACGTGGCATATGGGAGGGACACGTGGCATATGGGAGGGACATGTGGCATATGGGAGGGACACGTGGCATATGGGAGGGACATGTGGCATATGGGAGGGACACGTGGCATATGGGAGGGACACGTGGCATATGGGAGGGACATGTGGCATACGGGAGGGACATGTGGCATATGGGAGGGACATGTGGCATATGGGAGGGACACGTGGCATATGGGAGGGACACGTGGCATATGGGAGGGACACGTGGCATATGGGAGGGACATGTGGCATATGGGAGGGACACGTGGCATATGGGAGGGACACGTGGCATATGGGAGGGACACGTGGCATATGGGAGGGACACGTGGCATATGGGAGGGACATGTGGCATATGGGAGGGACATGTGGCATATGGGAGGGACACGTGGCATATGGGAGGGACATGTGGCATATGGGAGGGACACGTGGCATATGGGAGGGACACGTGGCATATGGGAGGGACATGTGGCATATGGGAGGGACATGTGGCATATGGGAGGGACACGTGGCATATGGGAGGGACACGTGGCATATGGGAGGGACATGTGGCATATGGGAGGGACACGTGGCATATGGGAGGGACACGTGGCATATGGGAGGGACATGTGGCATATGGGAGGGACATGTGGCATATGGGAGGGACACGTGGCATATGGGAGGGACACGTGGCATATGGGAGGGACATGTGGCATATGGGAGGGACACGTGGCATATGGGAGGGACATGTGGCATATGGGAGGGACACGTGGCATATGGGAGGGACACGTGGCATATGGGAGGGACATGTGGCATATGGGAGGGACACGTGGCATATGGGAGGGACACGTGGCATATGGGAGGGACACGTGGCATATGGGAGGGACATGTGGCATATGGGAGGGACACGTGGCATATGGGAGGGACACGTGGCATATGGGAGGGACATGTGGCATATGGGAGGGACATGTGGCATATGGGAGGGACACGTGGCATATGGGAGGGACACGTGGCATATGGGAGGGACACGTGGCATATGGGAGGGACATGTGGCATATGGGAGGGACACGTGGCATATGGGAGGGACACGTGGCATATGGGAGGGACATGTGGCATATGGGAGGGACATGTGGCATATGGGAGGGACACGTGGCATATGGGAGGGACATGTGGCATATGGGAGGGACATGTGGCATATGGGAGGGACACGTGGCATATGGGAGGGACACGTGGCATATGGGAGGGACATGTGGCATATGGGAGGGACACGTGGCATATGGGAGGGACACGTGGCATATGGGAGGGACACGTGGCATATGGGAGGGACACGTGGCATATGGGAGGGACATGTGGCATATGGGAGGGACACGTGGCATATGGGAGGGACACGTGGCATATGGGAGGGACATGTGGCATATGGGAGGGACACGTGGCATATGGGAGGGACATGTGGCATATGGGAGGGACACGTGGCATATGGGAGGGACATGTGGCATATGGGAGGGACATGTGGCATATGGGAGGGACACGTGGCATATGGGAGGGACATGTGGCATATGGGAGGGACATGTGGCATATGGGAGGGACACGTGGCATATGGGAGGGACATGTGGCATATGGGAGGGACATGTGGCATATGGGAGGGACACGTGGCATATGGGAGGGACATGTGGCATATGGGAGGGACACGTGGCATATGGGAGGGACATGTGGCATATGGGAGGGACACGTGGCATATGGGAGGGACATGTGGCATATGGGAGGGACATGTGGCATATGGGAGGGACACGTGGCATATGGGAGGGGACATGTGGCATATGGGAGGGACATGTGGCATATGGGAGGGACACGTGGCATATGGGAGGGACATGTGGCATATGGGAGGGACACGTGGCATATGGGAGGGACACGTGGCATATGGGAGGGACACGTGGCATATGGGAGGGACATGTGGCATATGGGAGGGACATGTGGCATATGGGAGGGACACGTGGCATATGGGAGGGACACGTGGCATATGGGAGGGACACGTGGCATATGGGAGGGACATGTGGCATATGGGAGGGACACGTGGCATATGGGAGGGACACGTGGCATATGGGAGGGACATGTGGCATATGGGAGGGACATGTGGCATATGGGAGGGACACGTGGCATATGGGAGGGACATGTGGCATATGGGAGGGACACGTGGCATATGGGAGGGACACGTGGCATATGGGAGGGACACGTGGCATATGGGAGGGACACGTGGCATATGGGAGGGACATGTGGCATATGGGAGGGACACGTGGCATATGGGAGGGACACGTGGCATATGGGAGGGACACGTGGCATATGGGAGGGACACGTGGCATATGGGAGGGACACGTGGCATATGGGAGGGACACGTGGCATATGGGAGGGACACGTGGCATATGGGAGGGACATGTGGCATATGGGAGGGACACGTGGCATATGGGAGGGACACGTGGCATATGGGAGGGACACGTGGCATATGGGAGGGACACGTGGCATATGGGAGGGACACGTGGCATATGGGAGGGACATGTGGCATATGGGAGGGACACGTGGCATATGGGAGGGACACGTGGCATATGGGAGGGACATGTGGCATATGGGAGGGACACGTGGCATATGGGAGGGACATGTGGCATATGGGAGGGACACGTGGCATATGGGAGGGACATGTGGCATATGGGAGGGACATGTGGCATATGGGAGGGACATGTGGCATATGGGAGGGACACGTGGCATATGGGAGGGACATGTGGCATATGGGAGGGACACGTGGCATATGGGAGGGACATGTGGCATATGGGAGGGACACGTGGCATATGGGAGGGACACGTGGCATATGGGAGGGACATGTGGCATATGGGAGGGACATGTGGCATATGGGAGGGACATGTGGCATATGGGAGGGACACGTGGCATATGGGAGGGACACGTGGCATATGGGAGGGACACGTGGCATATGGGAGGGACATGTGGCATATGGGAGGGACACGTGGCATATGGGAGGGACACGTGGCATATGGGAGGGACACGTGGCATATGGGAGGGACATGTGGCATATGGGAGGGACACGTGGCATATGGGAGGGACATGTGGCATATGGGAGGGACACGTGGCATATGGGAGGGACACGTGGCATATGGGAGGGACATGTGGCATATGGGAGGGACACGTGGCATATGGGAGGGACACGTGGCATATGGGAGGGACATGTGGCATATGGGAGGGACACGTGGCATATGGGAGGGACACGTGGCATATGGGAGGGACATGTGGCATATGGGAGGGACACGTGGCATATGGGAGGGACACGTGGCATATGGGAGGGACACGTGGCATATGGGAGGGACACGTGGCATATGGGAGGGACATGTGGCATATGGGAGGGACATGTGGCATATGGGAGGGACATGTGGCATATGGGAGGGACACGTGGCATATGGGAGGGACACGTGGCATATGGGAGGGACACGTGGCATATGGGAGGGACATGTGGCATATGGGAGGGACACGTGGCATATGGGAGGGACACGTGGCATATGGGAGGGACACGTGGCATATGGGAGGGACACGTGGCATATGGGAGGGACATGTGGCATATGGGAGGGACATGTGGCATATGGGAGGGACACGTGGCATATGGGAGGGACACGTGGCATATGGGAGGGACATGTGGCATATGGGAGGGACATGTGGCATATGGGAGGGACACGTGGCATATGGGAGGGACACGTGGCATATGGGAGGGACATGTGGCATATGGGAGGGACACGTGGCATATGGGAGGGACACGTGGCATATGGGAGGGACATGTGGCATATGGGAGGGACATGTGGCATATGGGAGGGACACGTGGCATATGGGAGGGACACGTGGCATATGGGAGGGACATGTGGCATATGGGAGGGACACGTGGCATATGGGAGGGACATGTGGCATATGGGAGGGACACGTGGCATATGGGAGGGACACGTGGCATATGGGAGGGACATGTGGCATATGGGAGGGACACGTGGCATATGGGAGGGACACGTGGCATATGGGAGGGACACGTGGCATATGGGAGGGACATGTGGCATATGGGAGGGACACGTGGCATATGGGAGGGACACGTGGCATATGGGAGGGACATGTGGCATATGGGAGGGACATGTGGCATATGGGAGGGACACGTGGCATATGGGAGGGACACGTGGCATATGGGAGGGACACGTGGCATATGGGAGGGACATGTGGCATATGGGAGGGACACGTGGCATATGGGAGGGACACGTGGCATATGGGAGGGACATGTGGCATATGGGAGGGACATGTGGCATATGGGAGGGACACGTGGCATATGGGAGGGACATGTGGCATATGGGAGGGACATGTGGCATATGGGAGGGACACGTGGCATATGGGAGGGACACGTGGCATATGGGAGGGACATGTGGCATATGGGAGGGACACGTGGCATATGGGAGGGACACGTGGCATATGGGAGGGACACGTGGCATATGGGAGGGACACGTGGCATATGGGAGGGACATGTGGCATATGGGAGGGACACGTGGCATATGGGAGGGACACGTGGCATATGGGAGGGACATGTGGCATATGGGAGGGACACGTGGCATATGGGAGGGACATGTGGCATATGGGAGGGACACGTGGCATATGGGAGGGACATGTGGCATATGGGAGGGACATGTGGCATATGGGAGGGACACGTGGCATATGGGAGGGACATGTGGCATATGGGAGGGACATGTGGCATATGGGAGGGACACGTGGCATATGGGAGGGACATGTGGCATATGGGAGGGACACGTGGCATATGGGAGGGACACGTGGCATATGGGAGGGACACGTGGCATATGGGAGGGACATGTGGCATATGGGAGGGACATGTGGCATATGGGAGGGACATGTGGCATATGGGAGGGACACGTGGCATATGGGAGGGACACGTGGCATATGGGAGGGACACGTGGCATATGGGAGGGACATGTGGCATATGGGAGGGACACGTGGCATATGGGAGGGACACGTGGCATATGGGAGGGACATGTGGCATATGGGAGGGACATGTGGCATATGGGAGGGACACGTGGCATATGGGAGGGACATGTGGCATATGGGAGGGACACGTGGCATATGGGAGGGACACGTGGCATATGGGAGGGACACGTGGCATATGGGAGGGACACGTGGCATATGGGAGGGACATGTGGCATATGGGAGGGACACGTGGCATATGGGAGGGACACGTGGCATATGGGAGGGACACGTGGCATATGGGAGGGACACGTGGCATATGGGAGGGACACGTGGCATATGGGAGGGACACGTGGCATATGGGAGGGACACGTGGCATATGGGAGGGACATGTGGCATATGGGAGGGACACGTGGCATATGGGAGGGACACGTGGCATATGGGAGGGACACGTGGCATATGGGAGGGACACGTGGCATATGGGAGGGACACGTGGCATATGGGAGGGACATGTGGCATATGGGAGGGACACGTGGCATATGGGAGGGACATGTGGCATATGGGAGGGACATGTGGCATATGGGAGGGACACGTGGCATATGGGAGGGACATGTGGCATATGGGAGGGACATGTGGCATATGGGAGGGACACGTGGCATATGGGAGGGACATGTGGCATATGGGAGGGACATGTGGCATATGGGAGGGACACGTGGCATATGGGAGGGACATGTGGCATATGGGAGGGACATGTGGCATATGGGAGGGACACGTGGCATATGGGAGGGACATGTGGCATATGGGAGGGACACGTGGCATATGGGAGGGACACGTGGCATATGGGAGGGACATGTGGCATATGGGAGGGACACGTGGCATATGGGAGGGACACGTGGCATATGGGAGGGACATGTGGCATATGGGAGGGACACGTGGCATATGGGAGGGACATGTGGCATATGGGAGGGACACGTGGCATATGGGAGGGATTAGGCACATACAAGAACGAGCTATCACCTTGGTCCAGTACGAGTTATCCATGAGCCGGGGGTTCTTCAATTCATTGCACCACCACGGCTATTCAGCCGCCCTCGTTTCACTCGCTCACCACCTTTAGCCGCCCGTCCCTCCATGCCCCAACAACCATAACACCCACCTTGGCCCAGTACGAGTTATTCATGAGCTGAGGGTCCTTGAATTGCACCTGAGCCAACACACATGCCATATCCCTTCATATTCAAACACGCATGCCCCAACACGCATGCCCCAACACGCATGCCCCAACACGCATGCCCCAGCCTCTCACCTTGGCCCAGTACGAGTTATCCATGAGGCGGGGATCTTTGAATTGCACCTGCAGGGGATAGCACATCACACGCGTAGACAGGGCACACGCAGGGCGCGAGGGGAAGGAGGGTGGGGGGGTGGGGGGGGGGGAGGAAGAACGTGGAGCGCAGGAGAGCAGGTATGGCAGAGAAGAAAGGGAGCTGATGAGCGGGTGGAGGGTGGTACTGGGTGGTGAAGCATGCAGAGAGAGCGAGCGAGGAACGCTGCTCAGTGCAGTAAAGTGGAATAAATGATGTGCAGGTGGAGGGTGGTTCTGGGTTGTGCACACGCACAGGCTGGTGACGGGGCACTTACCTCCTCTGTGACTCACTCGGAAGAAAAAACAGAGAAGCCTCGGACTTATTCGAAAAGGACGAAGAAGCTTCGCTCTCACCTCCTCCAGCTTCACTCTTTGAATCACTTTGAATCCAGAATCACTCTGTTGACATCACTTTTGAGAATTCTCAAAAGTGATTCTGAATAGCTCTCGCTGTGCTGCCCGGCTTGGCCTTGTCTTGCTGGAAATGACAGAGAAGCTTCGCAGACACTGGAAAGAACAGGGAAGCTTCGCACTCACCTCCTCCACCTTCACTCTCTGGAACGCTCTTGCAGCGCTGCCCAGCTTGCTCCCTGATCCTGGCGAGATGGCATCAAAGCTCCTCTTGTTGCCCATGAGCTGGGTGGGGGATGGGGAGGGGTAGGAGGGGCAGTGGAAGCGGCATGGGTTGGGGCATAGGAATAGAGAATGGGGTGGAGATCTCGCAGCACTGCCCAGCTTGCTGCCTGACCCCGGGGAGATGGCGTCAAAGCTCCTCTTGTTGCCCGCGAGCTGGGCGGGGGATGGGGAGAAGGGGCAGTGGAAGAGGCATGGGGAATGGAGTGTGGGGTGGGGCATAGCCGTATAAGTGGGGAGTGGAATAGTAAGGGGCACGGGAATAGTGCTCTTGCAGCGCTGCCCAGCTTGCTGCCTGATCCGGGTGAGGTGACATCAAAGACCCACTTGCTGCCCGTGAGCTGAGTGAGGGGTGAAGGAAGGAGTATGCGAAGGAAGGACAAGGTGTCCTACAATATGAGACGTAGACGAGCAATAGAGCTTTTGAGTCGACTCAGAAGGAAGGATGAGGCGTCCTAGAATATGAGACGTAGAGGAGCAATAGAGCTTGCAGAACTAAAATGCTGAATGCACATGCACATGTGAGCCTGACAATGCCAAACACACGATTTTTGAATGCAAACTTGCAACGGCTACCGCTGCACATGTGAGCCTGATAGTGCCAAGCACACGAGCCATTCCGAGCTTTGCCGCCCACCCGGTACATTGCCGCCCACCCGGTACCTTGCCGCCCACCTGGTACCCTGCCGCCCACCCAGTACCCTGCCGCCCACCCAGTACCCTGCCGCCCACCCAGTACCCTGGCAGGTGTCATCTGCCATCCATTCTGCTGCTGCTCCTCCTGCTGTTTCTGCTGCTCCTGCTCCTTCTGCTTCTGCTGCCGACCCCCTCTTTCTTTCTTAATCTCCTTCACATTTGACTTCTTCGCTTTCTCCTCCTCCTCCTCCTCACTCTCCTCCTCACTCTCCTCCTCACTCTCTTCGTCCTCGCTCTCCTCCTCGTCGCTACTCTCCTCTTCACTGCTTTCCTCCTTTTTCACAACTTTCTTTTCCTCCTCACTCTCCTCCTCCTCCTCCTCCTCCTCCTCCTCCTCCTCCTCCTCCTCCTCCTCCTCCTCCTCACTACTCTCCTCCTCACTGCTCTCTTTCTTTTTCACAACCTTCTTCACTTCCTCTTCCTCCTCCTCACTCTCCTCCTCCTCATCACTACTCTCTTCCTCCTCCTCACTGCTCTCCTCCTTCACAACCTTCTTAACTTCCTCCTCCTCCTCCTCCTCCTCACTCTCCTCCTCATCACTACTCTCCTCCTCCTCACTGCTCTCTTCCTTTTTCACCACCTTCTTAACTTCCTCTTCCTCTTCCTCACTCTCCTCCTCCTCCTCCTCTTCACTACTCTCCTCATCCTCACTGCTCTCTTCCTTTTTCACCACTTTCTTAACTTCCTCTTCCTCTTCCTCACTCTCCTCCTCCTCCTCCTCTTCACTACTCTCCTCATCCTCACTGCTCTCTTCCTTTTTCACCACTTTCTTAACTTCCTCTTCCTCCTCCTCACTACTCTCCTCCTCCTCCTCCTCCTCACTACTCTCCTCATCCTCACTGCTCTCTTCCTTTTCTACCACTTTCTTAATTTCCTCTTCCTCCTCCTCACTCTCCTCCTCCTCCTCCTCACTGCTCTCCTCCTCCTCACTGCTCTCTTCCTTTTTCACAACCTTCTTCTCTTCCTCTACCTCCTCCTCACTCTCCTCCTCTTCACTACTCTCCTCCCCTTCACTCTCCTCCTCCTCCTCCTCCTCCTTTGCTGCTATCTTCTTTACAACTTTCTTCTCTTCCTCCTCCTCACTCTCCTCCTCATCGCTACTCTCCTCCTCACTACTTTCCTCCTTTTTCACAGCTTTCTTTTCGTCCTCCTCTTCTTCACTCTCCTCCTCTTCCTCATCACTACTCTCCTCCTCCTCACTACTCTCCTCCTTCTTCACTTTCTTTTCTTCCTCCTCCTCCTCATCACTCTCCTCCTCCTCTTCCTCATCACTGCTCTCCTCCTCCGCACTACTCTCCTCCTTCTTCACTTTCTTCTCTTCCTCCTCCTCCTCACTCTCCTCCTCCTCACTCTCCTCCTCCTCTCTCCTCCTCACTCGCCTCTTCCATCTTCTCATCACTGCTCTCCTCCTTCTTTTTGCCCTTCTTTCCCTTCTTGCCAGCCTTCTCTCCCTCTTTCCCCTTCCCCTTCCCCTTCCCCTTCCCCTTCTCCTTCCCCTTCCCCTTCTCCCCCTCCGCCGCTCCTTTCTTCTCCGCTTTCACATCTTTAATCTTCGTCTCCACTACGACTTGCTTTGCCTCCTTCAACTCCCGCTTCTCCCTCTTCTTACCCTTCATCTCTTCCGTCGTCTCTCTCTTTTCTGTCGTTTTTGTTACTTCCGTCGTCTCCTCACCCTTTTTCCCCTTCTTAAGATCTTTCGTCTCCTTTTCTTTCTTCTCTACAATCTCGTTCTCCGTCCCCTTCTTTCCCTTCTTCTCCTTCTTCACTTCCTTGGTCTCCTTCTTCGCCTTGACCACCTTCGTTTCGATCGCTTCTTTCGCAACACTCTTCGCATTCTTCGCAGCACTCTTCGTTTCCTTCGCAACAACCTTCGCTTTCTTCGCAGCAATCTTCGCATCCTCCGCAACCTTGCCTTTCTTCACCTTCAGCTGCACTTGGCGCGGGACAGCCAAGACAGACAACTCTCCTTATTAGCATCCCCTTTTTTAGTCACATTCTTTTTAGCCTTCTTCGTCTTCTCCACCCCATCGGCTGTCTCCTCCTTTCTCTTCTTGCCCTTCTTCTCAGCAGTCGCTGTAATCCCCGCCATTAGCGGCCTGTTTCCTGCGCTTAGCGGATCCCGCAAATAGCCGGAAAAACCCGCGGGCCACAGACGAATCGTCGAAAAGGTTGGACGACGTTCGTGCACCACAGGGGAGCAACCTCGCCAAAGTAACCTGATATAAAATGTGACATGAACAGGGGAGAATGAAAGGGGTAGCAGGGGGAAAGGGAGAATGAAAGGGGTAGCAGGGGGGAAGGGAGAATGAAAGGGGTAGCAGGGGGGAAGGGAGAATGAAAGGGGTAGCAGGGGGGAAGGGAGAATGAAAGGGGTAGCAGGGGGAAAGGGAGAATGAAAGGGGTAGCAGGGGGGAAGGGAGAATGAAAGGGGTAGCAGGGGGGAAGGGAGAATGAAAGGGGTAGCAGGGGGGAAGGGAGAATGAAAGGGGTAGCAGGGGGGAAGGGAGAATGAAAGGGGTAGCAGGGGGGAAGGGAGAATGAAAGGGGTAGCAGGGGGGAAGGGAGAATGAAAGGGGTAGCAGGGGGGAAGGGAGAATGAAAGGGGTAGCAGGGGGGAAGGGAGAATGAAAGGGGTAGCAGGGGGGAAGGGAGAATGAAAGGGGTAGCAGGGGGGAAGGGAGAATGAAAGGGGTAGCAGGGGGAAAGGGAGAATGAAAGGGGTAGCAGGGGGGAAGGGAGAATGAAAGGGGTAGCAGGGGGGAAGGGAGAATGAAAGGGGTAGCAGGGGGAAAGGGAGAATGAAAGGGGTAGCAGGGGGGAAGGGAGAATGAAAGGGGTAGCAGGGGGGAAGGGAGAATGAAAGGGGTAGCAGGGGGGAAGGGAGAATGAAAGGGGTAGCAGGGGGGAAGGGAGAATGAAAGGGGTAGCAGGGGGAAAGGGAGAATGAAAGGGGTAGCAGGGGGGAAGGGAGAATGAAAGGGGTAGCAGGGGGGAAGGGAGAATGAAAGGGGTAGCAGGGGGGAAGGGAGAATGAAAGGGGTAGCAGGGGGAAAGGGAGAATGAAAGGGGTAGCAGGGGGGAAGGGAGAATGAAAGGGGTAGCAGGGGGGAAGGGAGAATGAAAGGGGTAGCAGGGGGGAAGGGAGAATGAAAGGGGTAGCAGGGGGAAAGGGAGAATGAAAGGGGTAGCAGGGGGGAAGGGAGAATGAAAGGGGTAGCAGGGGGGAAGGGAGAATGAAAGGGGTAGCAGGGGGGAAGGGAGAATGAAAGGGGTAGCAGGGGGGAAGGGAGAATGAAAGGGGTAGCAGGGGGGAAGGGAGAATGAAAGGGGTAGCAGGGGGAAGGGAGAATGAAAGGGGTAGCAGGGGGGAAGGGAGAATGAAAGGGGTAGAAGGGGGAAAGGGAGAATGAAAGGGGTAGCAGGGGGGAAGGGAGAATGAAAGGGGTAGCAGGGGGAAAGGGAGAATGAAAGGGGTAGCAGGGGGGAAGGGAGAATGAAAGGGGTAGCAGGGGGGAAGGGAGAATGAAAGGGGTAGCAGGGGGGAAGGGAGAATGAAAGGGGTAGCAGGGGGAAGGGAGAATGAAAGGGGTAGCAGGGGGGAAGGGAGAATGAAAGGGGTAGCAGGGGGGAAGGGAGAATGAAAGGGGTAGCAGGGGGGAAGGGAGAATGAAAGGGGTAGCAGGGGGGAAGGGAGAATGAAAGGGGTAGCAGGGGGGAAGGGAGAATGAAAGGGGTAGCAGGGGGGAAGGGAGAATGAAAGGGGTAGCAGGGGGGAAGGGAGAATGAAAGGGGTAGCAGGGGGGAAGGGAGAATGAAAGGGGTAGCAGGGGGAAGGGAGAATGAAAGGGGTAGCAGGGGGGAAGGAGAATGAAAGGGGTAGCAGGGGAGGAATGAAAGGGGTAGCAGGGGGAAGGGAGAATGAAAGGGGTAGCAGGGGGGAAGGGAGAATGAAAGGGGTAGCAGGGGGGAAGGGAGAATGAAAGGGGTAGCAGGGGGGAAGGGAGAATGAAAGGGGTAGCAGGGGGGAAGGGAGAATGAAAGGGGTAGCAGGGGGAAGGGAGAATGAAAGGGGTAGCAGGGGGAAGGGAGAATGAAAGGGGTAGCAGGGGGGAAGGGAGAATGAAAGGGGTAGCAGGGGGGAAGGGAGAATGAAAGGGGTAGCAGGGGGGGAAGGGAGAATGAAAGGGGTAGCAGGGGGGAAGGGAGAATGAAAGGGGTAGCAGGGGGGAAGGGAGAATGAAAGGGGTAGCAGGGGGGAAGGGAGAATGAAAGGGGTAGCAGGGGGGAAGGGAGAATGAAAGGGGTAGCAGGGGGAAGGGAGAATGAAAGGGGTAGCAGGGGGGAAGGGAGAATGAAAGGGGTAGCAGGGGGGAAGGGAGAATGAAAGGGGTAGCAGGGGGGAAGGGAGAATGAAAGGGGTAGCAGGGGGGAAGGGAGAATGAAAGGGGTAGCAGGGGGGAAGGGAGAATGAAAGGGGTAGCAGGGGGGAAGGGAGAATGAAAGGGGTAGCAGGGGGGAAGGGAGAATGAAAGGTGTAGCAGGGGGAAGGGAGAATGAAAGGGGTAGCAGGGGGAAAGGGAGAATGAAAGGGGTAGCAGGGGGGAAGGGAGAATGAAAGGGGTAGCAGGGGGGAAGGGAGAATGAAAGGGGTAGCAGGGGGAAAGGGAGAATGAAAGGGGTAGCAGGGGGAAAGGGAGAATGAAAGGGGTAGCAGGGGGGAAGGGAGAATGAAAGGGGTAGCAGGGGGGAAGGGAGAATGAAAGGGGTAGCAGGGGGAAGGGAGAATGAAAGGGGTAGCAGGGGGGAAGGGAGAATGAAAGGGGTAGCAGGGGGGAAGGGAGAATGAAAGGGGTAGCAGGGGGGAAGGGAGAATGAAAGGGGTAGCAGGGGGGAAGGGAGAATGAAAGGGGTAGCAGGGGGAAGGGAGAATGAAAGGGGTAGCAGGGGGGAAGGGAGAATGAAAGGGGTAGCAGGGGGGAAGGGAGAATGAAAGGGGTAGCAGGGGGGAAGGGAGAATGAAAGGGGTAGCAGGGGGGAAGAGAGAATGAAAGGGGTAGCAGGGGGGAAGGGAGAATGAAAGGGGTAGCAGGGGGGAAGGGAGAATGAAAGGGGTAGCAGGGGGGAAGGGAGAATGAAAGGGTAGCAGGGGGGAAGGGAGAATGAAAGGGGTAGCAGGGGGGAAGGGAGAATGAAAGGGGTAGCAGGGGGGAAGGGAGAATGAAAGGGGTAGCAGGGGGAAAGGGAGAATGAAAGGGGTAGCAGGGGGGAAGGGAGAATGAAAGGGGTAGCAGGGGGGAAGGGAGAATGAAAGGGGTAGCAGGGGGGAAGGGAGAATGAAAGGGGTAGCAGGGGGGAAGGGAGAATGAAAGGGGTAGCAGGGGGGAAGGGAGAATGAAAGGGGTAGCAGGGGGGAAAGGGAGAATGAAAGGGGTAGCAGGGGGAAGGGAGAATGAAAGGGGTAGCAGGGGGGAAGGGAGAATGAAAGGGGTAGCAGGGGGGAAGGGAGAATGAAAGGGGTAGCAGGGGGGAAGGGAGAATGAAAGGGGTAGCAGGGGGGAAGGGAGAATGAAAGGGGTAGCAGGGGGGAAGGGAGAATGAAAGGGGTAGCAGGGGGGAAGGGAGAATGAAAGGGGTAGCAGGGGGAAAGGGAGAATGAAAGGGGTAGCAGGGGGAAAGGGAGAATGAAAGGGGTAGCAGGGGGGAAGGGAGAATGAAAGGGGTAGCAGGGGGAAGGGAGAATGAAAGGGGTAGCAGGGGGAAGGGAGAATGAAAGGGGTAGCAGGGGGAAAGGGAGAATGAAAGGGGTAGCAGGGGGAAGGGAGAATGAAAGGGGTAGCAGGGGGGAAGGGAGAATGAAAGGGGTAGCAGGGGGGAAGGGAGAATGAAAGGGGTAGCAGGGGGAAGGGAGAATGAAAGGGGTAGCAGGGGGAAAGGGAGAATGAAAGGGGTAGCAGGGGGGAAAGGGAGAATGAAAGGGGTAGCAGGGGGGAAGGGAGAATGAAAGGGGTAGCAGGGGGGAAGGGAGAATGAAAGGGGTAGCAGGGGGGAAGGGAGAATGAAAGGGGTAGCAGGGGGAAAGGGAGAATGAAAGGGGTAGCAGGGGGGAAGGGAGAATGAAAGGGGTAGCAGGGGGGAAGGAGAATGAAAGGGGTAGCAGGGGGGGAAGGGAGAATGAAAGGGGTAGCAGGGGGAAAGGGAGAATGAAAGGGGTAGCAGGGGGAAAGGGAGAATGAAAGGGGTAGCAGGGGGGAAGGGAGAATGAAAGGGGTAGCAGGGGGGAAGGGAGAATGAAAGGGGTAGCAGGGGGAAAGGGAGAATGAAAGGGGTAGCAGGGGGAAAGGGAGAATGAAAGGGGTAGCAGGGGGAAGGGAGAATGAAAGGGGTAGCAGGGGGGAAGGGAGAATGAAAGGGGTAGCAGGGGGGAAGGGAGAATGAAAGGGGTAGCAGGGGGGAAGGGAGAATGAAAGGGGTAGCAGGGGGGAAGGGAGAATGAAAGGGGTAGCATGGGGGAAGGGAGAATGAAAGGGGGTAGCAGGGGGAAAGGGAGAATGAAAGGGGTAGCAGGGGGGAAGGGAGAATGAAAGGGGTAGCAGGGGAGGGAGAATTAGGGCTAGCAGGGGGGAAGGGAGAATGAAAGGGGTAGCAGGGGGGAAAGGGAGAATGAAAGGGGTAGCAGGGGGAAAGGGAGAATGAAAGGGGTAGCAGGGGGAAAGGGAGAATGAAAGGGGTAGCAGGGGGGAAGGGAGAATGAAAGGGGTAGCAGGGGGGAAGGGAGAATGAAAGGGGTAGCAGGGGGGAAGGGAGAATGAAAGGGGTAGCAGGGGGGAAGGGAGAATGAAAGGGGTAGCAGGGGGGAAGGGAGAATGAAAGGGGTAGCAGGGGGAAAGGGAGAATGAAAGGGGTAGCAGGGGGGAAGGGAGAATGAAAGGGGTAGCAGGGGGGAAGGGAGAATGAAAGGGGTAGCAGGGGGGAAGGGAGAATGAAAGGGGTAGCAGGGGGAAAGGGAGAATGAAAGGGGTAGCAGGGGGAAAGGGAGAATGAAAGGGGTAGCAGGGGGAAAGGGAGAATGAAAGGGGTAGCAGGGGGAAGGGAGAATGAAAGGGGTAGCAGGGGGGAAGGGAGAATGAAAGGGGTAGCAGGGGGGAAGGGAGAATGAAAGGGGTAGCAGGGGGGAAGGGAGAATGACATAGGTCTCAAAAACACCCTCTCCGCACGGGGAGCGTGTGG